CCACCCTGAATGCAGGCTCCAGAGAGAGTGGGGTTACGCTAAGTCCGCACTTAACATCAGGCATTCCTAGGTTCTTGGAAACTGCAACGTTAAGGGAAACGATGTATAACAAAATCAGTTTTATTTTTCATCAACATTATAACGTTGAACAAAATGACTGTTTGAAACCACATTATTCAAGGACCTACTGCATGTCGTTTTGCTCAAAGTGGCCGTTACCAAGAACCCGTCTATGTGATATTAAGGACTTTATGGGAGTGGGGAATGATTGCTTGAGGATTTGTTGGGTTGGGGGGTCTTGTTTTCTTGGTGAGGTAGGGGATGATTCCCCTGATTCCCCAGGTTGTGATTCTCATGATCCCTCTTCTCCCAGGTCACTCTACATGACATGATCCTGAAAAATATCGAGAAGATCAAACGGCCCCGGAGCAGCAATGCAGAGACACTGTACTGAGGCCAGGGCCAGGGCCAGGGGACTCTGTGAGTCTGGCTCAAGACCGACATTGCCTTGGTTTGTTACGTGACTATCGTGATGGGGAAACTGGCTGGAAATAGTAATCACACCTCTCTGTTTTTAGTTAGAGTCTAATGAAACTCTCATCTAGTTCTGTGATGTGTTTACCTCTTTTTTCAGGCCTCAGGAACTCTTCTATTTCCTTCCCTAATACCCCAGACCCAACCTGTCCTAATTTCTGGAGAATTCCAGGTTTGTGTGTGCAGGATATTGGCACAAGAATACTTGTGTTTTCTCTCTCCTCTCTCCCTACTGTGTCTTGGGCTTTGTGTTTTCTTACTTTTGATGATTAGTTGGTTAGAAGCTGAGGGAACTGGAAGGAAAGTGCTAGGTGTTTTTTAGGAACTGGGGTGACATGGGGACCAGTTTCTCTCTTCCTCACATCAGGTTAATGTCTCTTGCCTCTGTGGGACATTGAATCCTCCCTGCCACAGTTGCCCTGGTGATGACTTAGGGTTTTCCATCTGCATACATCCCACCTTGAACCTGATCATGACAAGGAATACTTCAGGCCTTCAGCGGAGTCCCTAACTCCTTCAGATGTTTTTATAATGGGGATTTTCACATACACTTGTGTGTGTGCATATATATACCCATAGCGACATGCACACACACTCCTTCCAACTCTCTACCCCACATACCCTCCCCCCTCCATGATATGATCCCTGTCACACACATACCCTTCAGGAGGTAATAGTTGTCTTAGATATCATCCACCCAGACATAAGTCTGTGCCCATCCTCCTGATATTATAGCTTTCTGGTGCCCAGGGGGAGTTGGAGTAGAACCAAGAGATGAGAAGCAGAGGGGTTGGGGAAGGCCTTTTCCTCTGTGACTGGGGCCCCTGTTGGCGTTATTGCAAAGGCTCCTGTGACTCTTGGTTGCCTTTTCCCAGGCCAGTTGTAAATTGGGGTTGGAGTGTCTGCAGCTGTGAGGTACAGATGCTGCTGCTCCTGTTGCGCTTTCCCTTTGGGAAATATATCTCTTATTTATAGTATTGTGCTTCCAGGGAAAGCAGTCATTTGTGTGTATATGTGCACGTATACACACACATATACACATTGTGTATGTGGAAATATGCTGGGCAGGTCAAAACCGTAGAAGAGTTGCCTCCTATCTCTTGAATCTTCCAGAGATATCACTTATTGTTACAGCTTTTATGTTAACCCTCATTAGCCCCCAGCTTTTTATTCTACCACTGCTGGAGAGTCGACATCCGCAGTCAGCCTGCCAGTGACTCTCAGTGTGTTTGTGACTTTTATTCTTCCCGTCTCTGTCTTCCAACCCCCAATCATATTTCCATCTGGGATGCATCATTTTTACTCCCAGTATTCTGTAGAGAAGGAGTCAGGATGCTGTCTTCCCACGAATAGTATTCAGTAACAAACCAATTGCATTTTAATTGGGCAGTGCCCCTTCCCACCCTACAGATCCCTTCCAGCTAAAACCCTTCCCTCTTCCCACCATGTGTTTCTCAGTTTCCCTTTTTATTTGTTGGATTGTTCCGCTGCCCCTCTTCCTCACCCTACCACCCTTGGATCGTAATGTAAAATTCTTTTACCATGTCAAGAAATTATTAAAAATACAGGTACTTTGACCTCTTTCTAAAGCCGCAAACCCTGGTGCAGTGCTCTGGTGGCAAGGGACATACTCATCATACTCATGTGTGCACATTTGGACACCCACCTTCACAGACACCTCTAGCCCACCCTATTTTGCATCCCTGTGCCAGTGAAGCTGCCTCTTTTCTCTGGGATAGTGGAAAGACTAAGGCTTCCATCTACGAAGCAAGAGTGGGTCCTTCATTTGTGTTCAGTCTGAATTATGTGAAAGTTAGCTCTTCCCAAACCTGAGCTGCCTTGTCTCCCTCCTTTTCAAGACCCTAGTTCCTTCCTTCCCCGGTTATACCCGTGAATGCCAGTAGAGGCTGCTGTAGTTCCATGTGTAGAGAACTGCCTGCTTCAAGGCATACCCTACCCAGTCATTTTCTTTACCTTATACTAAGTCTCCTCTCTGAAAAATGTCTTAAATTTCTTGAGGAGACTCCTGGTCTTGGTTTTCAAATTACTTGGAGGGCTGCCTAGGAACCTCTGTCCCTCTGAAATAAAGTTTCCTCCACTTGCACTTGCAAGTAGCCTTCTGGTTTCCACTAATCCCTTTATTGTCTCTGCAAAAAGAGTTTTCAGGTCTTGAACAATGGAGGAACATCCCCTCTGTTCTGTTTCAGAAATGAGTACCAAAAGCTACCACTTTGTGAAAGCCTGCCCTGTGTCAGACCTGATGTGCATGATCATGTTTAATCTTCATGAATCTGTATGGTAGTTTTATCCATTCTTTATAGGTGAGACGCGAGATTAATATTTCCCCTAAGGTCACACAGCTTAGGGACCTGCATTGGTGTACAAATCCGATTGCTAATTCCCGGCCCTCAACTACTCCTCCTTTCTCACTGTCTAGATACAAAAGGCCTGAGACTAAATCAAGGGCTTGGCGTTATGCCACAGGCAAAATTCAGTGCTTACTGCTGAACTGGGCGGTGGATCCTGGAACTGCTGGGGTGCAGCACGTGCCAGGAGGTAGGAAAGTGGGCAGTTTAGTGCCTGCATGCGGGACTGGATTGGGATCTGAGGTTTGCATTCTTCCTCAGACCCGTTCTGGGTGGAAGGTGGAGTTTAGTGTTGTTAATTGGATGCCCTGTCATTTGGTCTAAATGATGGGAATCAGTAGTTGGTACTGACTGCTGCTAGTAAGAGTTCAGGGGCAAAGAAGAGGCTGTGCATGTGGAAGTAATGCCTTGAGCCAAACCACAGGACAGAAAATTGGAACAGAATTACATAAATCAAGGTCAGAAATTTCCTGTCCAACCCACGGGGTGGAGTTTGCTCCATTCCTCTCCATCCTAGTGAATATAACCTGACTTGATGTCAGTAACTGGAAGGAGCCGCTGGTAGGACTCTGATTTCAGCTCTCAGCATCCACCATGAATCTCAAGATAGTCCTGGCGTTCCTGGCACTGTCCCTCATTACCATCTTTGCCCTGGCCTATGTCTTGCTGACCATCCGAGGGGGTTCCAGCCAGCCTCCCCGCTGCCCCTCTTTATCTCCCAGTGCCCAGCCCGGGTCACACCCTGGCCAGAGCCAGCTGTTTGCAGACCTGAGCCGAGAGGAACTGACGGCCGTGATGAACTTTCTGACCCAGCGGCTGGGGCCTGGGCTGGTGGATGCAGCCCAGGCTCAGCCCTCGGACAACTGTGTCTTCTCAGTGGAGCTGCAGCTGCCCCCCAAGGCTGCGGCCCTGGCCCACCTGGACAGGGGGAAGGCCCCACCTGCCCGGGAGGCACTGGCCATCATTTTATTTGGTGGACAACCCCAGCCCAACGTGAGTGAGCTGGTGGTGGGGCCGCTGCCTCACCCCTCCTACATGCGGGACGTGACCGTGGAGCGTCATGGAGGCCCCCTGCCCTATCATCGACGCCCCGTGTTGAGAACTGAGTTTGCCCAAATGTGGAGGCATTTGAAAGAGGTCGAGCTACCCAAGGCACCCATCTTCCTGGCTTCTGTCTTCAGCTACAACGGCTCTACTTTGATACCTCTGCATGCCACCCCTCGTGGCTTACGCTCAGGGGACCGAGCTACCTGGATAGCTCTCTACCATAACATCTCAGGTGTTGGTATTTTCCTTCACCCTGTGGGGCTGGAGCTACTGCTGGACCACAGGGCCCTGGACCCTGCCCGCTGGGCTGTCCAACAGGTCTTCTACCTTGGGCACTATTATGCAGACTTGGGCCAGTTGGAATGGGAGTTTAAGGCCGGTCGGCTAGAAGTGGTTAGGGTCCCTTTACCGCCATCAAATGGGGCTTCATCCCTGAGGTCCCGTATCGCCCCAGGTCCTCTTCCCCCTCTTCAGTTCTCACCCCAGGGTCCCCGATACAGTATACAAGGGAGCCTGGTGGTGTCCTCCCTGTGGATGTTTACCTTTGGCCATGGGGTGTTCAGTGGCATGAGGCTTTTTGATATTCGGTTCAAGGGCGAGCGAGTGGCCTATGAAATCAGTGTCCAGGAATGTCTGTCTGTCTATGGTGCTGATTCACCGAAGACGATGATAACTCGGTATTTGGATAGCAGCTATGGGCTTGGCCGTAATAGCCGAGGCTTGGTGCGGGGAGTGGACTGCCCCTATCAAGCCACGATGGCGGACATCCATATATTAGTGGGCAAAGGGACAGTCCAGCTGCTTCCAGGGGCTGTGTGCGTATTTGAGGAGGCCCAGGGACTGCCCCTTCGAAGGCACCACAATTACATTGGGAGTCATTTCTATGGGGGTTTGGCCAGCTCAGCCCTTGTGGTCAGGTCTGTATCATCTGTGGGTAACTACGACTACATTTGGGATTTCGTGTTGCACCCAAATGGGGCACTTGAAGGGCGGGTCCACGCTACGGGCTATGTCAACACAGCTTTCCTGAGTGGGGGAGAGGACAGCCTCCTCTTCGGGAACCGTGTAGGGGAGCACGTGCTAGGGGCAGTGCACACCCACGCCTTCCACTTCAAGCTGGACCTGGATGTGGCAGGTAAGTGCTGAGGGATGATGGTGGAGGGTTGCGGGTGGGCGGAGGGAAGGGAACCCCCCAGATCAAGCTGAGATCTCTGGAAGAGGCAAGAGCAGGCATGCCAGCAACAGAGCAGGGACAGTTGGAGTGTATCCAACTGCAGTCAGCCTGACCCTGGGCTGCTGGGTATCTGGCAAAAGGTGAAAAGGGTTCCCCCGCCCAGCCTCAATCCCCCAGTCCCCTCTGCCTTGCTGCAGTTGCGAAACTAGTTTAAATGTGATGGCTGCGCTTGCCTGCCTGTAGTCTCAAGTGACACTAGGTGGGTGAATTGGCCCGAGGTTGGCTGGGGCTGGAGTAGGGATGCTGCTGCTTCCTAATTCTGAGAGTCAGTGGGGATGGGGAGTGCGGGCCCGAGCAGAGGTTGGAAGGAGTCTGTCTAAAGAGTTTTCAGGGTAGGGGTGGACCTGGGGCATGGAAGTGGGGAATACCATAGCTGGGGGTGGATCCGTAGTATAGTGCCACTCTCCTCATGGGGAGGGCCATCCTCTTCCTGTCACCACAATGCACTTTCCAGGGACATGGCACACATAGGGTAGGCTTGCTGCAGGTATAGAAAGATTTCTCAAGTAGGGCTCAAAGCACAAAGAGGACTTGCTACTCCTGACATTCTGTTGACAACAGAAAATGAACTCATCAAATCACACTTTTAGATCCACAAAGAATAGGAATTCACCTCTGTTTTACAGTTGGGGAAATTAAGGAGGGCAGGGGCGGGGGCAGGGTGTGGAGATGGGGCAGACAGAAAGTGACTGCGCAAGTATGACAACGTAACTAAGCATATTTCTTGTGAAACATTTTCTTGTCCTCGAGTATGAAGACACAGTGTGTGTGTCCACACATGTACGTGCACTTGTGTTTGCCTTTGTAGTGGGGGTGGAGGGGAGGGAGAACTAAGAAAGTAACGATTGAAATGATCGTATTGTTATCTCGATTACTCTTTGACATATTTGGATTGTGACTATTCTGATTGGAGGTTTCCCTTCAGCATTTTTGGCATTACAGACCTTGTTTTGGGAAGTAACATTAGGTAACATTTGTGGGATCCCTGGTTTGTGCAGCCCTGGCTGGTGCTGTGGGGCCAGGGAGGCAGTATCAGACAGGCCAGCGCACAGGACCACGACCTGCAGAGCACTGGCTTCAATGGAGCGAGCACCTCCTGTGCCAGGTGCCCCCACATAGGCCTTCCCATTTAAAGGAAGCAACAGTCTGGACCTGCAGGAAAAAAGTGTATGACCACATGCTGAGCTGGGTGATGCAGGTTATGGATGCAGTAGAATTCCAAAAAGCTCCCAGAAAATTTAAAGAAACGAATGTGCTCATTTCCAAAAATGATTGAAAGTGTACTCCGCCTTATTGAGATACGGTGAAGTCTCAGAGCTGGGAGGAGTATGCAGGGGACCATGGGAGGGGATCGAGTTTTTCCACCTAGCTTCTCCACAGCGAATAATCATTATCCCTTTCATAATTACAAGAATATCACTAGTCAACTGCATGTGCTTTTCTGTTTGTTGAGCACAGCCGTAGAGCAGTGTATGGATTCGGAAAGTAAGAATCAGAGACACGAATTGGTCCAGGTTCTAACTTAGTAGACCCATGCTAACAGAACTAACTCTCTGCAGTGATAGAAATGTTCTATATCTGTGCTGTGGAACAATAGCCACTAGCCATGTGTGGCAACTGGGCACTTTAAATGTGGCTCGTGTGACTGAGTAACTGAATTTTCAATATGAATTTAATTAGCCACATGTGACTGGTGGCTACCCTGTCGGAGAGGGCAAGTTAGAAGAAGACAGGGTAACACTCGCGCAGACCTGGCTCCCAGCACAGCATCTCTGCTGCTCTCTGCTGCCTTTTGTGAGGCCGGTGCAGTGAGCATCCTGAGGAAGACAGGCCTGTTGCAATAGCCTTACCTGGTGTGGAACTCCTCTCCCTTCCCTCACCCTGGCAGGGCTGAAAAACTGGGTGGTAGCCGAAGATGTGGTGTTTAAACCTGTGGCCGCCCCCTGGAGCCCAGAGCACCGGCTGCAGCGTCCACAGCTGACTCGGCAGGTCCTGGCAAGGGAAGACCTGACAGCTTTTTCCTTGGGAAGCCCCCTTCCCCGCTACCTTTACCTGGTTGGCAACCAGACTAACACCTGGGGTCACCAGCGTGGGTACCGAATCCAGATCCACAGCCCCCTCGGCGTACACATGCCCTTGGAGAGCGACATGGAGAGGGCCCTTAGCTGGGGGAGGTGAGGAGGGCCCTGGGCAGTGGGTGGAAGGGAAAGACTGGCCCTCTCCCCTATCCCAGCCCTTGGAGACCCCAACTCAGTGTCCCTGGCTTACCATTTGTCCCTATACCTCCCCTCAGATCCCAGTAGATATGGGGTGGGAAATGGTCTTGCAAAGAATCTGATCTAAAGGACTTCTGGGCCAGTAAAGGCCCTTGACATTTTCTGACACCACCTTCCTACAACAATTCCTGGTCAGGTATCAGCTCGTGATAACCCAGAGGAAGGAGGAGGAGTCGCAGAGC